GGGGGGGGGGGAAATAATGTTGACTTCAATGAGATATTTAGGATAATCTGGACTGGCTCCAAACAAGAGAACTCTGGCATTTGTCATGTCCACAAGGCAGGTGGTGTAGTGAATCCTGCCCTATATTATTACACATATTAATATATTTCTGATATTCCTGGTCTCTCATTGGAGGGCTCGATACTGCTTTTTGGTTATGTAACTATATTTCTGCAATTACATGGACAACCACCCCTCACACATATGTTGCTTGTGTACTCGCAATCCTTGACAAATGTACAATGCTTGTTGGACCACACAGGCCGGGGGTAAGACAACAGAGGGGGAGGCTGAAGTGGGTGGGAACACACACCCCCCCGCAGGGCGCAGGACCCGCTCAAGAGCACCAACACAACTGGACTTTTAGGATTTTTAGGTGAGTTTTCCTGTTTTTAAACAATGTGCCAGATAAAACAAAGACGATTCTGAGCCAAAGTCAGGCTGAGGGGACCAATCTTTGACACCTACTAAACACCATTCCCAGTGCTCCTCACCTCACCACGTAAATGAGTCTGACCACTGCCCAAGAGAGGGAGTAAAATCCCCCCCTTCTAAGGCGCTGACCTGCCAAGGAACAGGGCTGTGCAGAGCTGCGGCCATGACTGTGGGGTGCAATGGTTAAGTGCGAGGTTGTAGAGTCAGAGAAAGATTTCACTAGCAGAGTAATGCACAGAGACAGTGTTGCTAAGATGTTTTAAATAGGAAATCCACAGAGCTGTTTCTATATAGGCTGTTGGGGGATGGTCAGCGGCCATCTGGCCTTCTCTCAGTAATGCCTTTGAAGCTGTGTCTAGCACCTCTCTTCGCAACAGGGTAACTTGTATCCCATTGTCCTCAACTTGGAGTGCTAGCTAACATTCCAAGAGAACAAAAGTTTCTATTTTATATTATGTTACAAATATAATAGAAGTGAAATGCTATTTAACTTGTAATTATCTAAGATTAGGTATCCCACAGCCTAGAAAATGTAAATCCATGTAATAGATTAAGAAAAATAGGATTAGCAAAGCCACTTTAGTTGGTACTGGAGGGTTTGCTCTGCACAGGGGTACCATGAAAATGGAAATTTTTGTTGTTGTGGCGACAAATTGGGGGGATTCGGGCTTTTCTATTCCACAGCAAAAGTATTAATTAGCCCTGGTGGCCCTGTTGTTCAATCTGCATATGGTTTTATTTTGACATTGATGGTACTTACTCTATTAGTCTCGATGCATTTTAGGGGCATGATATCTAAGAGGCACCTCTAACTACTCAAGCCTTAGCTCTACATTGAAATGCTAATAAATAGCTCATTTAACAACTTTAAATCCTGTGATTTCAAATCCAGAAAGAAGCAATATCGGAACCTAAATAAACAAGCAGCAGGCAAGTGAAAATGCAGACTTACCATGGCTGCCCACAGGTATAATGTCCTCATGTCCAGACTACAGAGTATATTGGACTTGCCAAGTTTAATACTTTCAGGTACCATTCAATATGAAAGAAACTTACAGGCCAAAACTTGGAAATAAACTTACTTCTTAAAGGAAACACTGCAGAGCTAAACTAGTCTAGGAAAAGCAAAGACCCCATCATACATCAATTACAATTTTAGGTCTATGCAAAAAGAAAGAAACCAAAAGATGCTGCCTCAGCATGCTTGTCTCTAGAGATGTATCTCAATAGTCTCTTTTTATAAGAGACAATGCAGATGCTGTATTGTAGAATTGTATCCCTGCAACTGCATAATTTTGTTAATCAATGTCACCCCAATAAATTCCATTTAAAAAGGAGACAAGAAAACCTTTAGGTAAACATTTAAATTTATAAACAGAAAGCTTGTCAGATAACTACGCAAACATGACAGGGCTCTCATTTCAACCCTAATCAAAAATAAAACCTAAAACCAGAGGCTCTTGTATTAACTTGGAATTTGCATAAACAAGTAACGCCTGCTTTATTTTAGCTGAAAAACACCACCAACGATGTAACTTAAGAACGCACTGAAAGTAATAAGCCCTTCCCTGAAAAATCTGAAAATACCACACGCTGTGAATGCTAAAATAATTACAAGTACACACATATGAAACAGCTGGCTGTGTCAGGCACCAACAACGTGCATTGTTGCTAGCACGCTAAATGTCAACGCCCACGTTCAGAAACTGCTATCGTGCAACATAACCTTTGGAATTTCGCAGTCCCGGTCAAACATATAAAGCTAAAGCAAAGTGCCAAGAACATATCTGCTTTGTGATATGAAGACGGAAAAGGGATGTGCAACTTTATGAATAAATTCTAAAACTCTACATAAATAATGCAGGAAGTCAAACCAATGAGAACACCACGGAGAGGCTGTTTCCCACCGCGTTACCTCCCGAAACAGGCCTCCTCCTCAGTCGTTCATCTGACTCTGTTTAAAAACTTCCAGAATTTAATCTTTCTTAATTCCTCTTCTTTAAAATTCAAAATCTAATTCATCTCATACATTTTAGGATCATTACAGCTAAAATAACAAGGCAGAAAGAAGACAGGAAACAAGGTAATTTTCAGCAACCTGTTCCTCTCCAGACGCTTCTGAACACGTGTATTCAGAGAAAAACAAAAAGCAAACTACTGAAATCACAATATATTATTGATGCAATTACACCCAACATATGATGATAACTAACATTTTGACGATCAGGAAGAAGGTGGTTCCAAGTATTTAGGAACAAAGAAAGCAATCGATGTCAATAGCCAACGGCACTATCGCCTCCATAGTTACCGGCCTGTACATGCCTCGCGGTCGACAGCATTGCCCAGGAAAAACCACCCTCTACAGCCACAGGCTTCAGGGCTGGGGTAGGGGGTGGGCTCAGGACTGGGAAATATATCTGGCTTATTTCGTACGGTGGTTTGCTTTAAATTATTATTTGTAACTATATTGAAGAGTATAAAGTTATTGGATTTTGATGTGGCTTTTTTTCACCTACTTCTGAGAATCTACACTGGCCAATGTACACTTGAACTACCAAAGCCCTGCTGATTCAGAATATACTTCTAGTAAAATGGTGAGCTCATATACCTGAGTGCCTACCACTAACATACGCTGATACTGAACATGAGCAGTCTGTGTTCGGAAAGAATACTCTTAATGACTATGCTATTTTCCTTTCCTTACATTACACAACTGTTCAAGAATGTAAATTTTCTTTATGTCAAAAATTCACCTATCCTATTATAGAACACATGCTGAAAGGGGATATGAGTTAAGAGGCCAGTATCTGAAACCATGACTCTGGGTTGAAATATCATCCCCAAGATTTACTCACTGGACGATCTTAGGCAAGTTCTCTAACTCCTCTGGACCTTAGTTTCCTCGTTTGAAAAATGGGGATGCTAGTACATACTTGAAAAGATTTGTGTGAGGATTAAATGGTATAGCACATGTAAAAGGCAGAGCATAACACCTAGGATTCAGAAAAGTAAATGTCAGCTAATGCAACTATTATTCGGGTCATTCGGCAGGCCCTACGTTCATAAAATTATGATTTGTGCATGTAAATACATACACAAAACATATTCACAAGCACAGAACACAAATATGTGGATATATGTGTCTATATGATATATACACTTACAAAACTTTTACAGGACCATTCAGCTATCCAAAAGAAAGGTAAGCTGCAGATTTGCTGAGCTGCTACAATTTAAAATGCCTCATGTTCAGTCAATTTTTGAAATGCTGTCTTAAGAAATTCAGCAATTATAGGGATACTGAGCAAAATTCTGCAAGAACAGCTTTTCTTCTAAATGTATTTCCAATACGAATTTGATTATTAATCAAACATTAGCATAGCTGCTCTACAGTGTGCCATATTCCCCCGGTAACTCATTTGTTACTTGGTTATACAATGGGATGTTTAAAGAAATTAATAAGTAGCTCTTTCTGGACATCAAAAAGTTTTCAGTACAGATTTCTTGAACCAAGGCTTAGATCCTAAGCAAGCGCCACTTCCCCCGAACACATGCTCTACAATAAAACAAAACAAAAAACCACTAACTCAAAGTTGTGCAATGTTTTAGTGATTGTAAAAAATGTTTAAATGATATGAAACCAAAATGAAGGAAGTAAAAAGTAATGAGACGTGACAATACAGAGATGTCAATTTTTATCTTTGCATTCATACACAGGAGGATTTCACGGTATGCACATTTTCTAAATCACTGCTCTTCAGAAGTATGAGTTTCATTTACGATCACATTTAGGTTTCTTAAATGCTACGACTACCAGTAGTATCCAGTTTTGTATCTTTTGTTCTAGCCTGGTTAGTATTTTATTACCTGCATCCTATTTACCACCTGAATAAGCCTGTCCTAGGCTTCCCTACCATCATCCACCCTTTATTTCAGAAATTTAAAAGGGACCTCAGCACTGAGTTCAATTTTGTTCTTTGGAGTCTAAAACATTTCACAAGAACAATGATATAAAGAGCAAAGATTATCTGAGCTATGCAGGATGAAATATTGTTACTACCACGGATATAATCCCATTGAGTGTAAATACTGCAATTTCAATAATTAACACATTATACAAAATAACATAATTCAGTACAAAATTGTTAAACTTCTTTCCTAAGTTTCTTTGTTTGAAGCAGAGGAAAAGTAGGTAGAGAGGGTCTAAACCTAGGAGGTTGGGTGTGAATATTAAGAAGCTTTACAGATTGATGGGACTTTTAAAGGAACGTTGAACTTTATTTTAAAACATCGTTTCTCTTTCCTTGTTATAAATACTCTCTCACTAGAATGACACCAGACTTGGTAAGGGAGACTGTCACACACGGATCAAAATAAAAATGTAAGAGTAAAGCAGTTACACAGGGGGAAACCATAAATTCAAGGTTGAATATGTGAACCTTCTATTTATTAACATTATTAGTATGACCATCACACAATGTCCCCATCTAACAACAGCATCTCCTCCGTTTCTTCCCTGCACAACTGAGCACGTGCCATTGTGACAGCCATAGCTACATGGAGGGAGTGATTCCCATGGACTGGGCACTCACTCCACCATGTGCTATCAGTGTTTCGTCTTGCTCAATTCTCAGATCATTCCCACATTTTCTAGAAATAGAATTTGAGATTCCGAGAATAAAAGTGGCTTGCCCAGAGTCACACAGTGAGCAGCAAAAATTGAAACCAGGGTATGTCCAAGCCCAGAGTTCAACCTCATAACCGTCACCTCTCACCCCTATCTCTGGACAAGGTCAAGGCTGCTTATGTGTTATCAGGACCATACTGCAAAGGAAACCTCCATTCAGCACCAAATGAGCGTTGGCTCATTAAATATAGATATTCTAGATGTAAGCAAGCCACAATTACTATTTTTCTTATTTGTAACTTAATGCATCTCGGTAATGAAAAGGAAATTAATTATCTGTTTATTTTTTATGTCAACTGTCAGATAAACACGAGACCATAAATGGAGACAACTGTTTTCAAAACATTCATTGCATTTATGAACCCAATATGGTTATTACAAATCACATGCAAAAAAAACTTAATGTAAGTTTTTATATGTTTCCAAGCACATTTTCTCTCTTGTATTTTACATCAAGGTACTCAAATAAGCCTCTCCTCACTTGTAGCATAGATTAAAATTAATGCGCTAAATATTATGGAAGTGGTTGAATTCAGGACATTTTTATTGTCTTTTGATTGCTATGTTCTTATTTATTGTACTTTCTCCACATAAGAACCCATTACCTTAAGCAGGCAGAACCACACACAGAGAACAAATGCCAGCTGTCTTACCTGTTTAAGAGCCTTTTTGGTGTGCTGCTGAAAGGAAGACACTAACTTGCTTTGTACTGCTGTGTTAGTAAGGCTTGAATCTCGAGTGGAAGATGCTTCCTCAGTTACCTGCTTTGCACAAACTGGAAACAGAGAGAGATAATGATATTACTAATTTGAATTCCTTTTTTTAATATCCACTGTAATTAAGTCAGAGCTTTTCTCCAAATGAAAATGAATACCTAAAATAAAGCAAAAGAGCAAAGTAAAAAGAAGAGCATCTAAATTTGAAAGAAGGGATTATTTAATAACTGCATGGCCACAGTTACATTTAACCTAAGTCTCCATTTTCTTACCACTAGTTGATGATAATGCCTATGTCATAGGGCTATTGTATGGACATAAAAACGAGCAGAATATCTGCCTCACGAGTTGGGAGTCAGTAGAGACTTTGCAAATCTGAGTATGGAGGTTAGGCAATGCTTAGTATTGTGAAGAAACAATCTAAATTAATGAAATTGCTTTAAATCTATCAACCTTGGAGGCTGTAATTCTTTCCTCCTACAAAAGGATGTCCATCCTCTCCTATGGGCCAAGTTACATAGTATGGAGAAGAAAAAATGAAATCCAACATGCTGGGTGTCAATTTTAGACAATTATTTTCAAGAAAATTGAGCCCTGTGCAGATTGTAATATGATTGGGCAGTTGTACCAGAGTCAAGCTTTCCTGTTGCTTACTCTACAAAAGACATTTTCTTAGAAAAGACTGTTTGTTTGTTTTAAAATACATTTTTATTGATTTCAGAGAGAAGAAGGGAGAGGGAGAAGGGGAGAGAGAGCTAGAAACATCAATGATGAGAGAGTCATCCTTGATCAGCTGCCTCCTGCACGCCCCTTACTGGGGATCCAGCCTGCCACCCGGGCATGTGCCCTGACTGGGAATCGAACCTCGATCTCCTGGATCACATAGGTCGATGCTCAACCACTGAGTAACGCCGGCAGGGCAAGACTGCTTTTTTTGAAAAACCAACGCGTTGTTGACACGGATAACCAAAGGGCCCACATTCACTTGCTTCTCTGTGAAACCTGTGGGAGTCCTCAAACCCTCCACCTGAGAGACCAGGAGGAGGAGTGGCTCTGGCAAGAGCACCGGTGCAGGCCCTTGTCTGTGCACACTAGGGGCGAAAATCAAAGTGAGGAGGTGCTATGCTTGGTGGCCCAATGGAGGCATATGTCAAGGGAGGAGGCAAGAGGAAGTCAGATGGCAGAAAACAACTTAAGAACATAGTGTAAAAGCTCAAAATGGGACTTTTTAAGGGCCACAAAGTTAACACTAATCAAAGAAAATTTTCCAAGGAATAGTAGCTTGGGAGGATTCTGACCTTAGTGTAGTTAAAAAAAAAAAAAAAAAAAA